CGGGGCATGATGAGCAACAACGTTGCGTTTGACTGAGTGCCAAGCCGCCAGTAGGGGGACGCACACTGGCTTGGAATCTGGAGGAAGAGAAACATGCACAACCACAAGCGTTCGGAGTTCCGCGCGGATTTCTTCGATCGGGGCTGAGCCTTCACCAGCGGCACTTGCGTCGCCGCCCATGGCATGCTCCGCGCGCCAGGGACGGGGTCTAGGGCCGATCCAAGAAATCAGCGCGAACCTCCGAAAGATCATGATGATGTACGTAGTGTTCTCCTTTGAGAACTGGCGATGCATACCCGAAAGATCGGCGATGCGCCCTCGATGGCAAAACCTCCCGTTCCCGGGCGTGATTGGGCGTCCATGCCCCGATTGGCGATGAATGGGCGATTGTGGGTCGATCTGACAGAATAGAAATGGCATGACCATACGTAAAGTGTCGTAAGTCCGCACTGATTTCTTTGATCGGAGCTGGCCCGTCCCTGGCGCACAGAGCGCGCCAGGGGCGTCACCAGAGGCGACGCCAGCGGGCCCAGCGCAGATCCAAGAACTCCGCGCGAACAGGCGAGCGCGTATGAAGACGCAGTTGTTCGACTTCGAAGTGTGGGTGGATGTCTCTCCCCCTGGGTGACGCGCAACGATCGGGTGGGACAGGCTCAGGGGGGGGAACATAGACCTGGAATCGGTGATACATCGACTGTAGATCGGCGGTATGCTCTCGATAGCGAACCCGCACAGTCCTGGTCCTGGGTGGGCTATCGGGGCCCTATCGGCGATCAGTGGGCGAATTGGGGGTCGATGCGTTTCCCGCTGAGTCGATCTCCCCCTAACTTTGCCGCTGACTTGACTGGCCAGTCCCCCCTCTCGTGGCCCCTGAGATGGCCACCTGGACCTTCGATCCTCGAAGGACGACGGCGACGGCGCCACCCTGCTCAGGCAGAAGGAGAGGCAGGAGCAGGAGAAGGAGAAGGAGAAGGAGGGAGGAGGGGGGAGGAGGAGGAGAGAGGAGGGGGAGGGAGGAGGAGGAGCCCACGCCTTAACGTTGCCAAACCCTTGAACCCTGAGCTTATCCCTGAGATCCAACGTTGCGGAAAATTTGCAACATCTCGAAAATCACGACCAGAGCCCTACACTCCATCTTTATGTAGCATTTCTCGAGCTGGATTGGTATGAGAGGGTCCCACGGCCTGACATAGGGCGAAAACGCTTTTTGTGAAACATGCAACGCGCGGGCGTCAAGGTGAGCCACACGCGGAATCCACCCCTGCAGGTCAAATTTCCAAAACGCCGGCTGGGCCAGTGCCCCCTGGGCCGGCTCGTCCCTGTCGCTGCCCCTGTCGCCATGCAACCCAGAGGAAGGAAAGGCGAGGCAGGGGAGTTGTCAATGCGCTCCGAACTGGACCAGTCCCCCCCCCCCCTTCGCTGCCCCTGAGATGTTGGGGTGGTAGCGCCCCAGGCAGCACCTGGTGCTGCCCGCCGCGTTCTCGTCGAGCCTCGCTGGCAACGCCGCCGCCGCCACCGCGCAATTCGCCGACGTGGTCGGAGGGGCAAGGAAGGCGATACAGCCATAGATGTTTGCAGGTACTACGCGAGGACTTGGGTCCACCAGCAGCTAAGTTCGCGTTGCGCGAAACGCGACTAACTCCTCGCTCTCGCGCCGCCCCCCCAGGGGGAGGAGGAGTCGCGAATCGCGAGCCGCGAACCACTTCGCGCCCTCGCGGCGGCCCTTGTAATACCCGCGTGGTGCCACAAACGACAAGGGATCTCACGCGCGATGGCATGTCGACCTCACTCGGTGGCTTACGCGTACGACCAACGCCCTTCGCCTGCGCGCGGCCTCACGCGGGCAGTTTGCGCGCGACTGTCTGCGAAGTCGGCCCCGTATTCGTCCGTCGGTCAAACGTTTGGAGGCAGCGCGCGCAGACTTGGGTCGGCGCTGCGCGGGGCCTGCCAGTGCGCCGCCAGACTACATATATATATATATATATATATATATACACACACTAGAACCACAGATGAGGCACGGGGGCCGCTGTAAGCCCCGCTGTGGTCACAACGACGATTTCCAGCGTTCTCGGGCCCATGCCATCGACGCAAAGAAACGCGTAGTCAGAACGCTCTCGCTCTGCCTGGGCCGCCCTTGAGGGGTGGGAGGGGAAAGCAACTTGTGAAATGATAGGGTATAGCGATGCCCCGCTCGCTCTGGCGGGGCCTGTCTGGCGCTCTGGCGGGGCCGTCCCAGGGTGGAGGGGAGGAGGAGGAGGAGAAAAAAAAAAAAAGGGAGTGGAGGCAAGAGGAGGGGGCGGGAGGGAAGGAGGGGCGGAGGGGCGAGGCCCGGGCCATCTGGGCCGTCTTGGAGCGCTCTGGGGCCTCCCGCTCCCGCTCCCGCTCTGTGGCCCAGCTTGGGCCTGTCCTGGGGTCCTCTTGGGCCGTCTGGGGCTCCTCCTGGACTATTTTCGGGCTCCCTGGGGCCGTCTTCGGGCTCTTTTGGGTGCCTCTTCGGTGGTCTCGGGGCGGTCTTGGCCTCTTGGGCCACGTTGGAATCTTCTCGGCCGCCCTGGAGCGCCACGGGACTCCCGCTCCCGCTCTGTGGCCCAGCTTGGGCCTGCCCTGGGGCTCTCTTGGACAACCTTGGGCTGCTCTTGGGCAGTCTTCAGGCTCTCCTGGGCCGTCTTCGGGCTCTTTTTGTGGCCTCTTCGGCAGCTTCGGGGCGATCTTCGGGGCGTCTTCAGCCGTCTTCGAGCGTTGGAAGCTCGAGAACGCGAGAATACGAAAAACATTTGGAAATCAATGATATGGGCCTCCTCTTCGGGCTCTCTCGGGACGCCTCTCGGAGCTCTCTTGGGGCCTCTTGGAGGGGTCTTGGGCTGTGTAATGGCTGTGTTGGGCCCATCTGGGGCCACGTTGGGGCCATCAGGGCCGTCTTGGAGCGCTCTGGGCCCTCCCGCTCCCGCTCTGGGGCCCAGCTTGGGCCTGTCCTGGGGCTCTCTTGGGCCGTCTGAGGCTCGTCCAGGCCAATTTTCGGGCTCCCCGGGGCAGTCTTGGGGCTCTGTTTAGGGCCTCTTCGGAAGTCTTGGGGCGGTCTTTTGAGGGCGTCGTCGGCTGTCATGGAGCGTCAAAAGGTCGAAAACGCGAGACACCGAAAAACATATAAAAATGAAAATCAAGGATGTGGGCCTCTTCGGGCTCTTTCGGGACGCCTCTCTTGAGGCCTCTTGGAAGCCTCTTGGGCTGTGTACTTGCGGTCTGCAACCCATCTGGTACCACGTTGGGGCTATCTAGGCTGTCTTGGAAAAGCTTGTCGAAGTCCCCGGGGGGCTTCTGGAGGCGTCTTGGAGCTCTCTGGGGCAGGGGGCCCCACGGCCCCTCCAGGTGCTCTGGGAGCGGTCTCGGAGACACCGGCCCCCCCATGCCCGCTCCAGGTCGCGGCCCCAGGCGCCCGAGCCTCGTGCGCGGGCGTCTATATGTATACATATATATATATATACACAGACACATACATACATGCAACCATACATACATACATACGTACATACACACACATACATACATACATACATACATACATACATACATACATACATACATACATACATACATACATACATACATACATACATACATACATACATACATACATACATGCATGCATGCATGCATGCATGCATGCATGCATGCATGCATGCATGCATGCATACATGCATATACATGCATACAGACATACATGCAGTGCATGCATACATGCATGCATGCATAAATACATACATGCATGCATACATGCATTACATACATACATACTTGCATACAATACATCCAATACATATGATACATACAATACATACATGCCTACATGCATACATACACACATACATACATACATACATACATACATACATACATATATGCATACACACACAGATAAACAGACAGACATACACACCTACATACATGCACACGTGCATACATACATACATGCATACACACATACACACATACATACATACATACATGCATGCATGCATGCATGCATGCATGCATACATGCATACATACATACATACATACATACATGCATGCATGCATGCATGCATACATACATACATACATACATACATACATTGCATGCATGCATGCATACATACATACATGCATACATTCATACATACATGTATACATACATACATACATACATACATGCATATATAATGTATAACTACATTTCCGAGTACCATCGCACGCGCTTCGCGCGCGCGCTCAAGTTCTAGCTGAGGTCATGATCATCGTAATCAGTATCATCCTCATCCCCGTCATCTTCATCGTCATCGTCGTGGTCGTGGTCACCTTCACCATCATCATCACAACAGTCCTCCTCCTCCTCCTGCTCCTCCTCCTCCTCCTTGTCCTCTTCTCTCCTCTTCTCTCAACGCACCCAGTACACGGGTGCCTACTGGAATGCGTGCCGGGAGCTTTTTCGGAAGCATTGTGGCAGTCTCTGGAGCCTCTCCAGGCCTTCCTTTGGAGTCCTTTGGGGCCTTTGTTGGCCCGTCTGAGGGCCCATTTCGGCCGTTCCTGGTCCTTCTTGGCTCGTCGTGGGGAGCTCAGCCCGTCTTGGGGCCCTCCTGGGGCCCTCTCCGACCATGTAGGAATCCTCTGGTTGCCCCCTCGGGCCTCCTGGGAGCTCTCTTGGGCCGTCTTGTAATAGCTCTTCTGTGCCGCTCGACGCTCTCTTCAGCCCATCTTGGAACCCTCTTTGGGGCCTCTGGGGCCGTCTGGGCCCATTTTGGTAACCTCTTGAGCCGTCGCGACCGCTGGTAGAACCGAAAAGCGAAGCTCCCAGCGGCCTCTTGGACAGTCGTGGGGGTGTCCTTTGGGGCCTTTTGTGGCCCGTCTGGGAGCCCGTTCCGGCTGTCACAAGCCCCTCTTGGCATGTCATGGGTAGCTGAGCCGTCTCGGGGCCCTCATGGAGCCCTCTCCGACCATGTAAGGATCCTCCGATGGCTCCCTCGGGCCCCCTGGGGACTCTCTCGGGCTGTTTTGGAGCTCTCTTGTGCTGTTCGACGCTCTCTTGAGGCTGTCTTGGAGCCCTCTTGGGGGCCTCGCGGACCGTGTGGCGCCGATTTGGGAAGCCTCTGGGGCCGACGTGGCCGCCGATGGAACATAAGAAACGAAGATCATAGAAATGCACGTTTGTCTCCATCGGAAATACTATTTGTTGCACCCCGGAGCCTTCTCAGCGGCCCCCTGGACCGTCTTCAGGGAGTCCTGGTCGGCCATTTTTGGACCCTCTGGGAGCCCAGTTCGGCCGTTCCGGGTCCCTCTTTGCCCGTCATGGGTAGCTGAGCCGTCTCAGGGCCCTCGGGGGACCCTCTCCGACCATATAGGGATCCTCTGGTGGCTGCATCGGGGTTCCTGGGTACTCTCCTGGGCCGTATTGGAGCTCTCCTGTGCTGCTTGAAGCTCTCTTCAGGCCGTCTGGGGGCTCTCTTGGGGGCCTCTTGGGCCGTCTGGGGCTCATTTGCGGAGCCTCTGGGGCCGTCGCGGCCGCTGGTAGGACTGAAAAGCAAATATCCAAGAAATATACCCTTTTCCAGAGGAACTGCTCTCGGCGGCCTTTTGGACCGTCTTGAACACCTTTGTGGCCGTCTAGGAGCAATCTTGGGTTGTCTTTGAGCGCTCGTGGCCCGTCCTGAAGCCATCTCAGTGCGCTCTTCAGCCACCTTCCAGACAACCTGGGGCGCTTTGGGCGCCTCTTGGGCCAGGTTGGGAGCCTCTGGGGAGGTCCGGGGCCCCTTCTGAACCCACTTGGAGCCCTTAAGGCCCTCCTGGACCCCCATGCGAACCAGAGGTCGCAGTTCTGGGCCCTCCCCCGACCTACTCCAATATATATATATATATATATATGTGTGTCTGTATGTCTGTCTGTCTGTCTGTCTGTCTGTCTGTCTGTCTGTCTGTCTGTCTGTCTGTCTGTCTGTCTGTCTGTCTGTATGTATGTATGTATGTATGTATGTATGTGTGTATGTATGTATGTATGTATGTATGTATACACACATATACATACATGCATACATGCATACATGCATACGTACATACATACATACATACATACATACATACATGCATGCATACACACACATACACACACATACATACACACACATACATACATACATACATACATACATACATACATACATACATACATACACACATACATACATGCATGCATGCATGCATGCATGCATACGTACGTACGTGCACACATACATGCATACACACATACATACATACATACATACATACATACATACATACATACATACATGCATGCATGCATGCATGCATGCATGCATGCATGCATGCATACATACATACATACATAGATACATACATACACACATTCATACATACATACATAGGTACGTGCGTACGTACGTACATACATACATACAAACATACAAACATACAAACCTACAAACATACATACATACATA